AGTCCTCTAAATTAATTAAATCATGAAAGTTTTAAAATAAAACTTATGACATTTGATGATTCTATGATTTATTGAAATGAAAATATATAACAAATTCAAAAATATGGTAAAAATAGAAACATAAGTGTAGAACAGCATTGTTAAAAGCAAAATTTTCAAACTTTGCTAAAGATCTTATCTATCTTATTTGAATTCAAACCAATGTTGTTAAAATGCTGCTTGAAAGGCAAAGTGATGAGATGTGGAAGAGTCACATTTCACAGCCTTATCATGCATGTGGAGAAGGTATAATGCATGCTGCGCGCCACTCTACAGCGGAAACACCGCAAAAGCACTCGGTATTTCTTCACAGTTCGTTTTCAAGCTGGCAACCAAAGGTTTTAGGTTTGGCTCACGCATTTAGTTGAATGGCTGGCTTAATACATAGAATAAAAGGGGTGCAAAATCATAATAGATGGCTTAACGATAGCAAAGTGAGCAGCAGAAGAACATGTTTGACCTTCTCATCTCCATCTATGGGATGGTTTCTCCGCTACACAAAAACGTCGCAGCAATAGTGCTGACCTCTCTTTCTAGCGTACAATTTCTCCTCCACATGTAAACATCACAACAACAAAGCTCAACCTTTATCTCTCTGTGGCTTCTCCACCACACTAAAATAGATGCAGTGGTCAGCCTTCACTAGCTTTTCATCTACATGAGCAGATGCTGACACACTTCTAATTTATGAATTCCTTCTCGTCCATTTCTCATGAGCAGATGCTCAACATTTCTCAGCCTTCTAGTCCATGTCTAATGTATGAATTCCTTATTTATGAAAGCTAATAATTTTTATACTATGTTTTGTTAGACATAAATTTTGAAAATATGTCATCAAGTTACGTGAACAATAGCTCTTTTTGTTATTCATGCACCTTTATAATGAAAACTTAGGGCAACTAAAAGTATGCATCAGTTTAACTTGATGACATATAGCTTTAGTTCTTATGGATCAACTACTCATAGAGAAGAGAATGAATATATGCTAGGTACCACACACACACGGCGTGTGTGATTGCGTGTGTGGCTTACTTTTACTATGGTGAGAAAATAAATTAGTGCAAAATTGATAAGGTTGGGTATCGCTCATTTTTCTATTTTTTTCACTTCTGCAAATGTACGTGAGCAAATAAATTCTTAAGACATGAGTTTGTCTCCAAAAATTGGAACAAATCCATGTTGTTTATAAGGAAAATAAATTTAAGTGGATCATTTTTAGGACTATATTTTGGTATGGTGTGTGTGTGACCAAGGATTTGAAGATTTTGAGCCCATTAATAAAATGTTGTGGTTAATCAATGGTTATAAGATATTAGATATGGGTTGTAATTAGTAGTGCATTTGAAGGGAATGATACTATCATTCACAACAGAAATTTTAAGATTTGAATTCTTAGTATTAAGTGACTATGAATGGTTTGAAAAAAAAAAGAAAAAAAAAACAATCAAAATTTCATATTTGTCAACAAGGGAACATAAAAACAATGTTGTTTATATGATATATTAATCAACAAACTACATGACTCGTTATTGCTTCCATGTAGCAATAATTGATCTAAGAATTTTAGCAATCATTTTGTTTTATATGAAATGGATGAGAAATGAAAATTATAAGTTAAATTTTGTGTTATTTGCTCATTGGAAAACTATTACTTCTATTTTATACTTAATCAAATTTTAATGCTGTTTTATCAAAAAACGCCTGTAAAGTAAATGCAACTATAGGGGTATCTTTATTGTACAAGAATCTTGTTTATACTATGGAATGATTATAGCAAAACTACAAGCCCCATAGCAATGGAAAAAATAGTTAGGGATTCAAATGATGGTAGGCAACACAACATTTGATGTTAGGGATTCAAATAATGTTAAATCCTTAAGATGAGTTGGTGAAACAAGATAATTGCAGCATTCAATTAATGCTCATGCTTTCCTCTTACAAGAACACAATAAAGAGATTTAGAAACTTTCAATGAATAAAGGATAATAGGCATCATCCTGTAAGTTAGCGCCATAACTATAACAATATACAAAGCTACTAAACTTGAGCAGAATTATATACCACAATCCTGCAGCATGCAACGCCCTTGCAATATGGATACAACATCATTACACCACAAGCAACATATTATCCTCATGCCAGCAACTTTTGGTCACAACACCCCTACCGCATTACCATGTATTTTCCTTTTTTTCTTCTTTATTGGTTGTTGGAGAAGGGAATGGGAAATCATAGTGTTCCCCTCCCAAAGGGTATGAATACTAAAACATCAAAGATACGATATTTCAAACAAGGAGATAACCATCTCTTACACAAAAAATTTGGAAGGATAATCTTAACTCCTCATCAACAATAGGTCTGACCAAATATTAGTCAAGCGGATGTTGCCACCATGTGGAAAGAGGAACTTCTTCATTCAATACCCTGGGTGCTAAACCAAGCCCTCAATAAGGAATTAGTGCAGCCCTCCAACTTGGGTGGATGGGCCCACACATAATGGTCCTTTTACCATCGTGATAATCACAATAATATGAAGATAATTTGAAGGAGATTATCTCAGACATCAAGAACCTCTTATGTTAGGAGTGCAACACCAATCCACATCTATATCACCGGATCTCTCCATGGTTAGCAAAATTCCTCCCTGATGAATGATGGTAAACTAGGCCCATTCAATTGGGAGAGACAATTGAAGGCCTTTCTCACCACAATTAATGATTGCTCATAGTAGAGTAAAAATATAAAATTAAAAATAAATAGGGGATATTGAATATTTTATTTTGCTTCCCCCTATTTTCCACTTCTTCCTTTTACAATGCATTGCAAAAAGTCCCATCTTGTTCTTTGCTTGAACCTCCATGAAAAGGAGATATTTAGTTAAAAACAATAAGAGAGGGAAGACAGGCTTGTTAAATTGGTTGACCACGTATGATTAGAAATGAAAAATGAAGACAATATAACCACGTATGGGGTTATCCAAAGCAATTGCAACTATAGGGGTATCTTTATTGTACAAGAATCTTGTTTATACTATGGAATGATTATAGCAAAACTACAAGCCCCATAGCAATGGAAAAAATAGTTAGGGATTCAAATGATGGTAGGCAACACAACATTTGATGTTAGGGATTCAAATAATGTTAAATCCTTAAGATGAGTTGGTGAAACAAGATAATTGCAGCATTTAATTAATGCTCATGCTTTCCTCTTACAAGAA